TCAATCATTATCTCTCTGGTCAAAGCTGGTAAGGACCCCAGTCTAGCGACTTAAAATCACCCAATTGTTCCCTCCCTCTACCCTTAGTCCGCTGGTGAAGATTATGGAACGTCTAATTCATCCAATTTTGACGCCTGTGACGGATCTATCTTGCCATCAACATAGTTTAAGATCAGGTTGTGGTGCCAAAAGGGTGCTTTTTGAGCTCAGTGACACTATCCACGAGGGTTTAAATCAACAGAAGCCCGCTTCACTTACCGTAGAAGTATCAATCGACCTGTCACGCGCTTCGACTGCATTCGCCATGATCAGCTCCTGCACGACTTCGTATCCCTGAATCGCCTGACTGACCTAGTCCGATGGTTTGCGTCTTATACCCGTGGGCGTCAAGATCTTATCCTTTTCCGCGGTGCTCTTTCTAAGCCCCGTAAACAGACCTACAATTTTTCCCAAGGCTCTGTGCTCAGTCCGTCGCTCCCACTTACTCGGGCACCTACGAAAGTGGTATCATACGCGGATAATGTTACCTTCTTCTACCGGCACCACCACGTTGATCAGGTTGAGCAACTCATCTCGGAGTTCATGCCTGATGTCGTAACTTTCTTCACTCAGCGCGGGTTGACGATCTCGGCAGCCAAGTCATACGTCATTGTTTTCACGCTGGACTCGAAGGAGTTCAATCGCCACCCCAGCCATAATCGTCAATGATGCGTTTTACCGCTCGTTCATAAGCCCAAGCTCCTTGGCGCCAGTTTCGATCCGCTCTTCACGTTCGCGGACCATGCCAGGAAGGCCGCAGGCAAAGGGAGTCGCTGCACAAAGGTCCTCAAGGCTCTAGCGGGCACATCCTGGGGCTGCGCTAAAGTGACTTTGGCCACCAAATTTACAGCACTGGCCAGGCCGCAGCGCAATTATGTTGCACCAATCTGGTCTCCCACGATCAGTTCTTCCAGCCTCCGCTCAACCACGGGTTGCTATAAAAAGGCACCTATCGATCGTCTTCATGCGGAGGCCTCTATCCTACCAGCCAGAAGTTTAGGTTGACCTGTTGGCAACCTAGCCATCCTAATCAGCACCCTTGCCACGCTCCTGAACCCCGCCGTAGCGTTCGTCCGTCTATTAGAGTTCTCTACAAGGAAGCTGTCGCCTCATATTTCTCAAATCTATCCCTTGATGGCTTTGTCATCATTAAAAGGCTTCTAGCGTCTTCACCAGAAAGCCGATGTCGACGCAAAACCTAGCTACGAGCTGACGATCCTTTTAGGCGGCTTTTAACCTCCGATTGCGGCCTCGGAACGACAACTCTCGAGGGTCACTCGCTGTACCTTCGATCAACTACGCAGTGGCTACTCCGTGCTCCTTCGCCAGTGGTTAAACCGGCTTGACCCGTCCACATCCGACAGCTGTCCCGATTGCGGCGTCTCTCCGCATGACTTTCAGCATCTTTTCGCCTGCAGTTCCCGGTCAAGCACCCAAATCGACCCCGTGGACCTTTGGCTCAAGCTGGTTGAGGTCGCGGCTTTTCTCCGTCCTCCAACTAAAACCAATTT